TCCCTCCCCACACATCTCCGACTGCCTTATAATATCGATATGCGACCTCTGGACGACATGCTAGACGCACGCAAGGGAGAGGAAGAGCATCAGGCGACTGGGGATGTAGGAGGTGAGGGCCCAGCGGGCTGACTTGAGCATGAAAGAGCGAGATGCGAGGCTGCGGGTAGTTGCAGCCTCAGTAAACGTATGTCTCTCTTTAACTTCGCTTTACGCTGACGTTCTTCTCTTGCAGAACTCATGCACAGCATTCTCGGGCATTACTGGCTCTCTGTCAGCAGGATACACCGGGTACTGTTGCGCACCATTTGCGGCCCAGGGACGAAGATGTAAGCGCGTCATTCATGCTCCCGAGCATGCAGTAGCCCCCCGCAGGGACTCAATCGAGGCCCCACGGGCGCGGCACGCATGTTAGTACACGCATGAAGTGTCGTCGCGCATCGCCCGCGATCCACGAACGAAAATCAAGCCCGCGCGAGAGTGCACCGCCATGAACGTAGGCACGAGACAGATAGGCCATTGGCCGACACAATCACGTCCGGAGGCGGCACGAGGTGGGACCATCAACAGCGCGCGATGGCCGTTGTCGTTTGTGCGTAATTGCGCACCAACGATCACGGCCCACGGGGGCTGCACGCGATGGCAAGGGTTCACACAGACGGTCAACAGAGAAGGCTGTGCTGAGCAAGCACACCACCATCTCATGAGGGCAGTCCTCGACCACCGCAGTCTACCATCTACCAAGGCCAAAGGCAGCGATGGCAGTCAAGACATGCGTGCACGGCAGTGCGCCACCGTCAGTGGCCGGCAATGAACGCCCGGCCAACTGACCACCGTGAACGACCTGACGCATCAAAGCCGACCGCTGCAACAGCAGCTTCGATGTGCGTGCACAACTGCGCGCCAGCACCAAGAGCTAACGGTGGCCGGTCGCGCGTTAGCACGATAACGAATGCAACTACGCGTGCCCGCGTGGTACTGTAACCGACAGAGTGCATAACAGCGGCTCACTGGATCTGCGCGAGACGGCCTACCAGCAGGCACGTCCAAGCGCATAGGCGGCGCGGTACGGTACCAGCGACAGCGCACGACGGCCTCCATCGCGCGTGTGCAGCCGCAGACCGCCGACAGCGATTGACGCGAGCTGCGCAAGATGGCCAGGAGCACGAAAGTGACCAGCTACCGCGATGAAGAGCAAAAGCGGCGTGACGTCGTGCCAGCAACAGCTCATGGCGGCCGCCGTTGTGCGTGCACAACTGCGCACCAACAAGCACGGCCTCCGGGAACTGTGTGAGGCAGCTAGGCAGAGGCCACCACCACCACCGTCTCGTCTCCTCCTGTGCGCTCCGACCCGCCAGCCGAAATCAGCCGGCAGCAGTTGGCCAAGATGAGAGATGCAGGACGAGGGCCAGTGTATGGGCAGAGGGACTCAAGTTCCTCGCCGATCGTGGTGTGGTGCAGAGCCTCAGCACGACGCATGTAGACAGGAACTAGCTGTGTATATTGTCTCTCGTAACATTGTTTTGCTTCTGCTCGCTACCTCTCCTGCAGCATCGTCGTCACCGTCGTGGGCGTGCCTGAGGTGCTTTTTTGGCACGGCCCTCATCGAGGTCCCGCGCATCGGGCGGCGCTGAGCGATGGTTGAGTCAAGCGCGCTCATGGGAGCGAGCCTGTTCCAGTG